GAGAGAGAGAGAGAGAGAGAGAGAGAGAGAGAGAGAGAGAGAGAGAGAGAGAGAGAGAGAAGTGGGAAAAGGTACAGATTAAAGTAGTCTTTAAAATTCAAAGAAATTTAAAGTTTAAGTGCTTGAAGGTTAGCCATATGGAAGAGAGAATAGATTCATTCTCTTCTGCATCATGGAACCAAGGATCATTTTGGCGTAATGTGAAGATCTTCATAATAATTGAAGCTATCCAAGAATGGTGGAATGGGCTGCTTAGAGAATTATTGAGACTCACATCACTGGAAGTGCTTGATCATAAGCTGAATGACCTCATGTCAAGGATGCTGCAGATTTTCCTTCTAGAGCGGACCAGATGATGCTTAAAATGTTTTCTAATTCTAGGTGAACCATTTCTACTCCCAACACTTCTGATGAAATATATGGGATTTTTTTTTCCCACACCAACAACCAATTCTCCAACTCCTCGGATACCAAGTGGGTGTCCAACAATTATTATAATTATATACAATTGTAATTATTCAATTATGACATTTATCAGAATTAGCAGCAGATCCCACAGGCTAAGAGCTCTGTCCTATAAGTCTGCCTCCACTTCAAAAGTCAGTTGCAATCCCAGGCCTCTTGTTCTTCTGACTAACTAGCTGTTCATTTGAGGTTCGTATGACCCTGTCCTTGGGTAGATAATTTGCTAGAATGACTCACAGTATTCAGGAAAATATTTCACTTACTATTTATTACTTATTTATTATAAAGGATACAACTCAGGAAGAGCCAAATGAAAGAGACACCTGGAGCAAATTAATAAAGATCATGAATTCCATACCCTCTAGAGGATTGCCATCCTCCTATTACCTCAATGTGTTCACCCATTTGTAAACTTGCAAAGCCCAGGAGTTTGAGAGTTTTAGTGGAGACTTTATTGCATAGGCATAATTGTTTAAATCATTGACCATTCATAATGGCTTCCATGCATATTGAGAGGTAAAGGCAGATAATTCCAATCCTCTAATCAGATCTTGGTCTTTCTGACAGCCAGACCCCATCCTGCAGCTATCTAGACACTGGAAGCCACCAGTTATCTTATTAGCATATAAGAGACACTAGTCACTTCAGAGACTCCAAGAGTCTTAGAAACTCTAGTGTTAGAAATCAAGAACTATGACCAGATGTAGTAATAAAAGGAGTTCCTGTGACTCTTGTCATTCAGAAAATTATGAGCCTTTTAAGATCTTTGGGCCAGAGACAGAAACCAAATATGTATTTCTTATTATATCACAGTATCATGTTAGGATTTGTCAGTTTGCATGACTACTATGGCTCTTCTGGATGATTCAGGCCAAAATGAAATTTCTATTGAGGTATATGACTGCAGGTGGATACTGTCAACTTGGCCCAGACATAAAGAGTATGGTCAATCACAACCACCCCTTTTCCAACTGAAAGCACACCTTTACAATCATTTAATTAGTAGATTTTTTAACTAGAAGACACCATTTTGTATGAAATCAAACTGACAGAAAAATTTTGACTATTCAGACTTGAGAATTTGACAAATGTGAGCAATGTGAGTCTGTCACCTCAAGGAAGCTATGAATATAGCTGTTGCTAATGAAAACATTTGTGATTTTAAGCAAAAATTAGCTATATGCCTGTGATCCCAGAGATTCAGGGGCTGAGGCAGGAGGATCTCAAGTTTGTGGTCAGCTGCAGCCACTTAGCTAGGCCCTAAGTAACTTAGGAAGACCCTGTCTCAAAATAGAAAATGAAAAGGGCTGGGGATGTGGCTCAGTAGTTAAGTGCCCCTGGGTTTGATCCCCAGTACTGAATAAATAAATAGATCCATCAATAAATAGATAAATAAATAAATAATTGCAGGGAGCATTTATAGCAGCCACATGACCATGATAGCATCCCAGTACAAGATTTTTTTGATGAGACCAGGGATATTAACAAATGTAACTTGTTTGATACTATGAAACCAAATTTGCCACATTTGAATGACCTGTATAACCCAATGAGTAAAGATTTTTCAAATGACTAATATGTAAAAAGCTATAAAATGATGCATGCATGAAAGATCCACTTGAACTGCACAGTAAACCAATGAAATTTTTGTGTAACAGATAACAAAAATGTTGATATGATCTTAGATTACACACCTGTTGAGTTTTGATGGACTATTAAGATATCCAAGATTTTATAAAATCACTTCTCCCTCATTCAACTTCATATGTGTTTGAGGCCAAATTTTCTTTAGGTTCTATTAGCAAAATCATGTATTGCAATAGATTGAATCCTGAAATGGTTAATTTGAATTATCGACTTGATTGGATTAAGAGGCTTCTGGGTGTATCAATGAGGCTGTTTCTAGGAATGATTGACATGTGGGATAGCAAACTGAGGTAGAGACCTAAACTAATTGTGGACAGCACCATCTGGTAGGTAGGGGACTTGGGTGAAAAAAATGTTGGAAGAACAAGAAGGCAGCTGCAGATGGAAGTTTGATTGTTCTCAAGCTAGTTCTTGATTGCTGCTGTGACTACCTGAGGGCATCAGACTCTAGCTCCTTCACTCTTCTAAAGCAGATTTCTTCCCAGGCCTTCAGTCTGAGACTTCATTGATCCCTCTAGTTCTGAGGCTCCAGCTTCTTGAATTGAACAGATCTTGGTTCTCCAATTCCCCAGCCTGCAAACTGCCATTGTGGGATTTTTGTAAGCCAATCTAATAATAAATCTCCTTTAATAATTATATACATATATATATACATGTATATATATATGTATGTGTGTATGTATGTATACATATTTATATATAAATATATATTCTGTTGGTTGTTTCTCTAGAGAACCCTAACGTATACAAATATATTAAAAAAACCATTGCAAAAGCAAGGGAAAAAAACCAAACAATGCCACTTGCCTCCTTAAATTATTTTATTTTGGAAAATGCAGTATTTTTCACACAAATATATTATTATATAACTATGCAATACATTTATTATAAAAATAATTATTATAAATGAATTAAAACATTTTAAATAATTTTAATTTTGTGTGTGTGGATGTGCTGGGGATTGATCCCATGGGCACTTTACCACTAAGCTACACTTTCAGCCCTTTGTATTTTTTATTTTGAGACAAGGCTCACCAAGTTGCTGAGGTTTGTCTTGAACTTGGAATCCTCCTGCCTCAGACTCCTGAGTCACTGGGATTAAAGGCATGTGCCAGTGCACCTGGCTAAAGCTTTTTAATTTCTCATATAATAAATATTTTTTAAAAATCCCCTTGATTTGTGTTAATTCTTTAATATTTTTGATAATGATGGGCTTGGGTATTATTATCATATTTTATTATTTTTTTTGTAAAAATAAGGAAGAGCTTCAGAGAGGTTATGGGACATTCTTGAGGTCATATAGTGAGTCAAAAAATTTATTCCGGTTTATTGTCTTTAACTCCAGATAGACTTTATGCCTTCTGATGAGCAAAGGCCAAATCAACTTAGAGAAAAAAGAGAGGACAATGGTTGAACGGGTACCTGAATCTGCTGCATTAAGGGGGAAACAGAAAGGAATCATTTGGAACTTCCAATGCTCACAAGACATAATGATTAAACAACTTGACTTATTTTTCAACACCCATTCAAACATGCACTGCAGAACCAATAGTTGTCTTTAAGTTTGAATGAAAACTGAAGCCTGGTCCATGTTGATTCTTGGCAAATCTGCAGCTGCAAAAGTGGTTCCATTTCAGTTATTGGTATTTCTAGGAGAAAAAAAAAAGGCAAAACTTCTCTTGAAATTACAGAGTCTCCACCACTCTACTGCAAGATAAGTTGGGTCTTGCAAAGGGTGAGGGAGCTGGTATCTTTTTCCTCCCCCTAGTGTGCTGCTCTCAGGTCACCTTCCTTAACACAAATTATAATGGAGGGAGCTGCAGGTGGTGGTAGTGAAGGACTCAGTGGCAATAAGAACATTTTTACTTGACTGATGGTATTTCTGTGATCTAAGCTTTTGCACCAAAGGCATTCTCTTTTAGGGGTGCTCTGTAGTTATCTAGAACCCCATCCATCCCTCCTTCTGCCAATCTAAGGATCTTGGAACATCAACTTTTTCAAAATGAGCAATCTTTTTTCTTTTACAACTGGTCACTAGGCTTTTAGGCATCCTGTGGTACACATTTTGCTTGTTTTTGCCTATGTTCTTCTCATTGTTAGATTTTCATTGGCCTTTTGATAAGGATCTAAGACAAATTCAGGTGATTTCTCTGCAACTCTTGGTTCACATCTATTTCACAGAAAGAATTTGAGACACACATCAAGTTCTTTAAGAGGTCTCCCCAGCTGGCCCTGGTGGAACATATCTGTCATCCCAGCAACTTGGGAAGCTGGGGCAGAAGAGTCACAAATTGCAGGCCAATCTCAGCGACTTAGTGAGGCCCCATGTAATTCAGCAAGACCCTTTCTCAAAATAAAAACAAAATAAAAAGGGCTGGGGATGTAGCTTAGTGGTAAAGTGCCTCTGGTTTCAATCTGCATTACGAAAACTAATAAATAAATAAAAGAGAGGTGGGATCTCAATAAATTATCTTTCTAGACTTTAGTTTAAGGACAGGCATTCCTTGCCCTTCATCTTTGTGTTTGTATTGCAGGAGTGTGAGTTATATTCTAAGTACAGCACCTCACCTGATCTCCAACTCCTGATGAGAGGGACGAATTAATAACAGGTTCTGCAGATGGGCTTTCACCTCATTGTGAAATGAACCACCCTTTGAGCCCTTGAGGTAAATTGATTGCAGAAATAACCATTTTTTTCTTTACTTATCCAAACCCTGTGCCATGTATCTTTACACTTTATCCTATCAGAACATGGATTCTAATTCTTCATAATTTGCACCGATCTTCTAATTTTCTTTGGTCAACTGCATAAGATGTCAGCGACAAGGTGCTTGTTCCAAGTCTGGATCTCGAGTGTTCTTGCACAGTTCACTACCCAGCTACTCTACAGACTTGTGAATTGTAATAGAAACTTGTAGTTTAAAGCCACTAAGTTTGGGGAGGATTTGTTATGTAGCAAAACTAATCACTACAGGTCTCAATAAAACCCAGATCATCTTGCTACAATAAAATGTAGCTTGCAGTGTGAGCAGGGTTGAATAAGCAGGAAGGGGAGGGGAATAATACCAGATTGGAGAGAGAGAGAGAGCAAGAGTAAAAAAAGGAAGACAGGCTAAAATTTGTGCTTATTCAGGAGTCAAGAGATAAGTTAATGTGCAGATAAAACTTTTGGCAGGGTGCAAGAGAAAAAGGCTAGAAAGGTGAGTTTGGGTCAGATGGTAGGGACTTCAGTTTGGAGCAACCACATGGAGGGATGGGTGTGGCTTCTTCAACCTCCATTCTCACATCTTCCTCTCCTTCCAGCCACCACTGAGCCCTGGGGTGTTTGCTAGAGTAACAGAGGCGGTAGAACCGACTCAATTTCATTTCACTAAGTAGTGACTGGCAATAAAGGACACATTCTCGCTGTGCTTCCTTGTAATAAACCCCAGCCTACATGTTTATAGTTCGAAGTGTACTTTAACAGAAATTGAGCCAAGATACTTCTATCCTGACCAAACAGAAACAGATGGAAGAAATAGTTTCCTCTAAAAAAGAATGCAAATATGGAAAAATCGCCCTGTTTAAATAAGAAAGATAAAAACACGTTTGCTTATTCATGAAAGGCTTTTAAGTCTTTCCTTGTTTATTCTTAAAGAGCCATGTTAGTTTATTGGTGGCCACTAGATGGCACTTGTGTACAGCATTTGAAATTGATTTCAGTGAAAACCCGAGAACCTGCGGTGAGACTAGAATTTGAGGTTTTGCTCTTATGCAGCCCACTTCCTCTCCCACCCTGCATCAAGAAGGGTGTAGGAGAGAAAGCTTAAATCTCTTCTGTGCCTTTTCACTTATAAAGAAAAATGAACATGGCAGAAGTGTTCCTGATTAGATCCGGAGAAAAAGGATGAAGTATTCTTGCTAGATGAATCAGGAGAGATGATGTTCTGTCATTCTTTAGATATAGACCTGAAATACGAACTTTAAATTTATGGTTGCTGGTATGAGCCATGGTTCTCTATTTACCCAGTTAGCGCATTTGGGTGAAGCATGAAGAGTGGGTCTTCCAATTGGTTACTTTATCACACTGACGATTTCAGATGCTGTAATCACTCTTACCCCTTAGGATGGGGGAAAAAAATGGATCTCACAAGTCTTCTTATCAGATCACCATAGTTTGATTCATCTTCATGAGAGTTGTCTGCCTGGTTGTTCATTGCTGCTGTCTACTCATCTGGACATTTTCATATGATGCAAACAGTGATGGCGACTGTGAATGTCATCCACAATTGTCATACTGAGAGACTAGTCTAGGATACATCTTCAAAAGAAGAACGACGACAGTAAGCAAGAGGCAAGTAAACAAAGAAACAAAATCACAAATGATTTAAGACACTTCAGTGGGGGTCCAGAGTTTTTGACATTTTGCCTGACCTGTGCCTCTCATTTCTCTGGCCCTGGAGCTGTTATCAACATTTAGAACCATCCAGGAAACCAGGACTCCTTGTCTGGGAGGTAAGATGCTGGCAATCTGCCAGTCACAGCTTTGCCAACTCCATTAGCTTGTCACCACTGAGCTGATGCTGATCTCTCTCAGGGCTCCTCTAATCTGGCCTTTCAGTAGCCTCAGCTTTCTCCTGTTTAGCCTAAGCTGCTATAAGCACATGCTTTGAAGCATCACCAGATCTGATATAAAAGGGACATCTGTCCTAAAGAAGATTAGGGTAAGGTCAGGGAATCCAAAAAGGGCAAAAAGAAAAGAGCAGATTGGGTCATAAGTGTAAAAGAAATCAGAAACAAAAATGTAGGTACTGGGGATGTGCAAGACCAGACACATGACCTCTCTTTGATGTCTCTGGTCCTGTGTCTTTGACCTTCAGGATGGCATCTCTGGTCCTCTTCTTGCTTACCTGGAGCTTGCCTGCTCTTTTCCTGACAGAGTTTTAAAATTCTACCTTAGGAAGAGGATTGATAAACCAGTTCTAACTAAAGATTTTCAGCTTAACAGGGGACAAAGCATGGATCTGATAAAACAATGGAACCAAATCCTAATGGTAGGAATGCAAATGTTGGCAAGCAATGTCAAAGATAATGTCCTTTCATTGGTGAAGACACCGTTGAAGCTATATAATTTGGGTTTTACTAAAAACTAGCCCTAGGCACATAAATTAATATATGAACAGGAACCTAGATGACTTTCTGGTTTCTTTTTTCTTTTCTTTTTTTGTGATACACAGGATTGAACCCAGGCCTTTGCACATGCTCGACGAGCACTCTTAACACTAAGCTGCATCCCTAACTCCTTTTATTTTAAGACAGAGTCTTACTAAGTTTCTGAGGCTGGCTTCAAATTTGCCATCCTCCTGCTTTAATCTCCTGAGTAGCTGGGATTATAGGTGTGCATTATAGTTTCCATCAAACCAAATATACTCAACTTATACAGGAAATAAATAGAGCCAAATTACTGGAAAAGTGATGGAATTGGGGGAGGGCCACACATGATAACATGGGAAAAAAAAAAGAATGTACTTTGATGATGATGCATTGAATGCTAGAGGATCATTAGGACCTGGAGACTACAAAGGGGCTTGGAGTCCAACTGAATTGAGGCAATACAGAATTTCCCTTAACATTATAGAAGAAAAAAATCACATTTAAGGAAGGTTAAAGCAGGGGTCACAGGTTCAATAGGCCATCAGTTTCTAGAGCTAGCAAGGTCAGTGTAAAACAACCCCAATGACCCCAAACTCTGTCAGATACAGTGAGCTGGCTGAGGGGTGGAGCCTCATTTGCCTCCTGTTTTGTTAGTCATCTTAACTTAGCATGGTGGTCCTGAACACATAGGCATTAAGCACTGCTCAAAGAAAGTCTGAAGATTTTGATATCTTAGTCTGTTTGGGTGGCTATAACAGAATATTGTAGACTGGATAAATTATAAACAACAGAAACTTACTTCTCACACTTTTGGAGGCTGGGGAGTTCAAGACACAAGATTTAGTGTCTGGTGTTGGTCTACCTCCTGGATCATAGATGACCTCTTATTATTATGTCTCCCCATAATCCATGATGGATTTTTCTGGGGCTTTTAAATTTTTTTATTGGTGCATTGTGATTATTTGTAATAGTGAATACATTGTTATATATTCATACATGTAAATAATATAACAATATAATTTAGTCAATTTCATTGTTAGGGCCCTTCTTTAAGGACACTTATTTTATTTATGAGGGATCAGTCTTTAAAATCTAATCATCTATCAAATGCCCCACCTCTGATTGCCCTATATTGAGAATTAGATTTTAATATACAAATTGTGGAGAACACAAACATTCCAATTACAGCATTTTTTTCCTTGGATCCCCAAATTCATGCCTTTCTTGCATGCAAAATATATTTACTCCATTCCAATATCCCCAAATCTTAACTCAGTCCAGCGTCAACCCAAAAGTCTTAAGAACAAATACAAACAACAAATATTGTCTAAATCAGGTATGCACGAAAGTCAAAGTGGGATTCATTCCAAGGCAAATTGTTCTTCATCTGTATACCTGTGAACTTAGGTGAATGCTTCTAAAATACAATGGTGTGACAGACGTAGAACAGGCATTGTCATTTCCAAAGGGTGGGGGGGAGAAAGAAGTCAGAACAACAGATCCATTACCCAGTGGGGCAAATAACATTGAACTCTAAAGCTCAAAAATAATCCTTTTGGGCTCCATGCTCTGCCCTCCTGGACCACTGAGGTGGGAGTCACATCCCTGTGGCTCTGGGAGGCCTTTTTTCATGTAGTAGCTTTGTGCCTGAACTCTGCCCCTGCAGCAGCTCTCCGTGTGTCTCCAGTTCCACAGTGGTCCTGCGCCCATGTCACATGCCCAAGGATTCCTGGAGCTAGAATCACAGATAAGTGGCCCCAAATTTCCTCTGGGCATTGTCCTAAGGAGGTTCCTCTGTGGTGGTCCTGGGCTTGCTGGGTTTTTTTCGCCCTAGTTCAATGATGGGAAGGTCAGCCTTCATTGTGTCTCAGTTGCCTTTGGGGTCATCCTTTCATTGTCTGGGACATCAGCTCCCAGTTTCTGTTTAGATGGCGGAGTGGGAGCGATCTTATTAAATGCTCTCTCATCAGAACTTTCATTTTCTCTCCTGACCGGCCTTTCTTATTTTTTTCAGTATGGATATGTAGACAATTTTTCAGACGTTCTGCTTCCTTTCCGGTGAACAATCACATGTTTAAATCATTTCTCTCTTCTGCCTTCTTTCTATAAATAGTCAAGAGGAACCAGGACACTCCTTCAACACTTCACTTAGCTATTTCCTCAGCCAATTTCCTCAGCTATTTCATAGCTTGGGAGTTCTACCTTCCACAAAATTTTTGGGCTCAAAGCAATTTGGTCAAATTCTTTGTCCTCTTAATAACAAGGATGGTCTTTTATGTGTTGTCCAATCACATCAAAATGAACTTTACCATCCATACTGCTACCGATGTTTCTGTGCAGTATTATTTACTTAGATATTCTCTAAGTTGATGGAGTCTTCTCTACTGCTCTCTTCTTTCCTTTCAAAGCCAGGAATCTGTTCTCAGCAGCCCCTTGACAGCAACATCTTTTTCTAGTATGCATCTCAAAACTCTTCTAGCCTCCACCCATTATCTGGTTCCAAAATTGCTTCTGCATTTTGTTATAGCAGCTGCTCTACTTGTCAGTGCCAATTGTCTACCATAGTCTATTAGGGTTATAAGAGAACATCCTAGACTAGGTAGTTTAAAAACAACAGAATGCATTTTTTTCCCACTTTGGAGACTGGGAAGTCAAAGCCAAGTTGCTGGCAGATTTGCTGTCTGGTTATGGCTTATCTCTTGATTCATAACTTCTTTCTGTTGTGTCCTCATAGGGCAGAAGGATGAGGAGTTTCTCTTGGGCCTCTTTTACAAGGCCACTAACCCCGTTAGTGAAGGCTTGTCCATCATGAACCGAATGTATTCCAAAGGCTCTACCTCTGAAAACACCCTGGGTATTAGGTATAATGTATAAATTTAAGAAGAAACAAATATTTGTATGGGAAATCCTTGCTATTATTATTATCAGTGAAAACCAAAGAAATAACCAGAAGATTCCTATGTAAAATGAAGTGGATTCAGGTCATCTATGAGAAATGGTCATTTGCAGACTCAAGGGCTCTTTGTACTGGACTTTTATTCCTTCTCTGCCCAGCTATTTTTCCTTTTTCTTCAACTGTGGATATTTCTTCCTTTGACTTTATTCTACCCTGTGTGATTCTTTTGGGTCTACCAAAGATAGTGTGTCAATATTTTGGTTACAAGTTAAGCATGTTGTCAGAACTTATCAATCATAGTATCTGGTACATAACTGGATTAAGGTCCAAAACCAACCGTAGCTCTTCCTGGGATTTTATTTGGGTCAAAATACTATCTTTTTATCTTGAGCTGAAAGGCTGGAATGACGGAATCCTGGGACTTTTGGTAGTATTTCTATCTCCTTCCCTTGCTTGATGGAGAAAGATTGTATGAATTTGTAGAGAAAAAAAGAGATGTGAGTTGGGCTGAGGGAGACGTGATAAAATGGGTCCATTTCTGACCCTCCTAGTCAAATGATCCAGTATATTCCCTTTAATTCAAACTATATTGAGTGGGGTTTCCATCATTGACAACCTGGAGGATTTTGATTAGTATGTTTCTCAGCCAGTCCAACTGAGTCTCCTAATATGATACATGCAATGCTGCTATGAATTCCATTTAGAGCAGTATGTCTTCTGATTCTAATAGAGATAACAGTGAGTATCTGTGCAAGAAAATAAAACTATAATTCTAATTTGTTCATCTTGACTCATTATCACTTCATGACCTGAAGCACAAGTATTAGCTTTTCCTGTAAGAGGTAGTATTTAGAACAGAATCAAATAATATTCGCAGCAGTTTACTACATTTTATAAGGAAACAATGAATTATTTTTTCACCAGCCTCTGGGTTTTTTTATTTTTCCTTAAATAATGTGATAACTGGTGAGGTCCTGGGCCTGCCAACATTCTTCTTTCATGTTTCTTCCTAACAAGGACCAAAAATAGAATGGCAGAAAGATTTCTTGGAGTTTAAACCTAATAACAATGAGATTAAAAGAAGGAAAAACAGGCATCAGCATGAACTTTTTTAAAAATTTTATTTATTTATTTATTTATTTATTTATTTATTTTATTGTTGGTTGTTCAAAACATTACATAGTTCTTGATATATCATATTTCACATTTTGATTCAAGTGGGTTATGAACTCCCATTTTTACCCCGTATACAGCTTGCAGAATCACATCAGTTACACTTCCATTGATTTACATATTGACATACTCATGTCTGTTGTATTCTGCTGCCTTTCCTATCCTCTACTATCCCCCCTCCCCTCCCCTCCCCTCCCCTTTTCTCTCTCTACCCCCTCTACTGTAATTCATTCCTCCCCCTTGTATTATTTTTTCCTTTTCCCCTCACTTCCTCTTGTATGAACTTGAATGA